GAAACCTATCCTGTGGCTCCATGGTAGGAAAACCTGGTGGTCTGCTCCTGTGAGGATTACAGCCAAGGAACCCTACTGAACAATTCCACTCTGTTGTAGGGGAACGGATTAGATGGTACCCAACACCACTTCGTGGATTTGCTGTTAAAATTACTTAATATTTATAAAGAATTTACTCAAACGTTTGGAATGTATTAAGACCCATGTAAGTGTTAGTTAAAGAAAAAGATCCATACTTCAGAGTATGAATTTTTTCTTACTATTCCCAACCTTGAAAAATATTTAGCTATTCCAAATTTGAGAGGAAGTGGCATTTTCTCTGAGACCACATATCCTTGGTAACTGTGTCCTAAAATAATATACAACTAGGTTTTAGAGGTAGATAAAATCAAAGTACAAACACTGCCTCAGTGATTCACTAGGTTTATAATTCAGCTCCAGTTTCCTCACCTAAAACAAGAATCAGCAAACTACAGACTATGAGCCTAATCTAGCATACAACCTATATAATTATAAATAAAGTTTTATTGGAAAACAGCCATGCCCACTCTTTTTTATATTGTCAGTGACTGGGCAGAGTTGAGTAGTTGCACCAGAGATCATCTTGTCTGCCAAACCAAATATAGTTGCTATCTGGTCCTTCACAGAAAACATTTGCTGATGCTGATGTACAATATGAGAATAGTGATATCCTGGCTTATTTTTGTGAGAATGGGATGAGAACCCTACACACAGTAGTGGTCCAATAAAGAGTAACTATTATGATCCTTTGGAGTCCCTGGGTGGCTCGATTGTTAAGCTCTTGGCTACTAACCATAAAGGTTGGTGGTTCAAATCCACCAGAAGCACGTTGGAAGAAAGCCCTGGTGATATCCTTCCAAAAGATCGCAGGTATTGAAAACCCTGTGGAGCACAGTTCTCTTCTCTGACTCACATGGGGTCGCCATGAATCGGAATCAACCTGACAGCAACTGGTTTGTCTGGCCTTGGGTTGTATTGTTATCATTAGAGAATCAACATCTGAATAAATAATATCTTTGTTACTTTGATTTGTTGCTTGATTTTCAGTCTTTTGTATCCTTGCTCGGCTTAGGCCATTCTGTCCAAAAATGAAATACGAGCCTGACTTCCTCTAACTGGGATTAAACTAATCTGCCAGGCCATGGCACCTGTCTGTTTAGTCCATTTCTATGGCTGCATTCATCCAAAGCACCCGGGTTTCTGTCCTATTGTTTGGGGGCATTTGCTTTATGTCTCAGCAATTCTGCAGGCATCAGACAGGAAACACAAAGATCCTTGCACGAATTTCTTTTCCATTTTTAACTTTTTATTTAGAAATAATAAAATAAGACATAATATATAAAAATATGTACAATCCATGGTTTGTGCAGTACAATAGAAAGACGTTAGATACAAAAAGACAGCCAACAGGAAAATAATAACCATCATGATTGTCAAAGGCCAGAATTGTTCAACTCACCACAGCCCAGAGCTGAAAGCCAACATTACAAGAAAAGAGATTAAAGTTGGCTGACATGAGGGGATGGGGAGGCAACTATCCAACACTTTTTTTTTTTTTCACCTTAACATTATTAAACAGAGTGAAAAAGAACTCTCTCTACTTTTTAGAACAAATGTTGTGCCCTTACTGAGTGGTTTATTATCAAATATACACTGACAAATTCTCTGTAAGGTGACAATGATTTGACCAGACCTTATCAAATAAACATCAAGGTTTGGAATAGGCATGTATAGGGATGAAAGTAAGTCAAGGGAAGAAATAATGCATTAACAGAATTTAAAAAATTAAAGTAAAACAAACTTTCTCCAGGAATTTAGAAATAACTACAGTGCTATAGTGACATTCTGAAAATGTCTAATTCAAGTATACTCTTAGAGGGATAGAAAACTATTCCTTTCTCAATAATCAAAATAGAATTTGCTTTCTCTACTTTTATTTAAAAATAGGAATAATAAGGAATCTATGCCCCTTCCTCCCCCACACCTCCCAAAAAATAGAATGCCCATCCACATTTGGGCAAAATGCTTTAAATGGGAATAAATTCGAAGTAAATTCAACTGGGATTTGCTTGCAATAGAGAAGCAACATGTATCTGGGAAGAGACCCCAGATGTTCACGGTGAGTCCTTTCCATCCAACACGTGGCCACTAGTTAGAGACTCTGTCAATAAGGATAAATGTTTTGGAGGTAAAATGCAGCAGTATGTCTTGGCTCTTGACAAAAAACAACTTGCCATTTAAAGCTCGTAACTGCGAAAATGCTAATAATTAGGAAAAGCTTTCCAATGAGCAGCCCATGCGGAAATAAATAACCGAACATAGAAGGACGGACCTTAGAAGGCTGATAACTATTTACTAAGACCATGCTAACCGGTAGCACACAGGTACTAGCTTCAGACATTGCTGTACTGAAATTATACTTTCTATGGCATTTTTTTTTCCTTTACAGACTTCTATTTACATTTGGCTTTAAATATGAAAATATCTGATAAATTTTATAAAATGTACACTTTAAAAACATAGCTTCTGCAAAATTTTCTTGAAAAAAACACAAACAAACCTGTGCACCAGAAAATTTAGATCTTTTTTTCTTTCATTCAGAAATAAGCTGAAAGATTTCCCTCCCTCAGTCTCACCCCCATAACCACCCCCTTCCCAATATCTCAAGTCATTTTGTGTGTGTGTGTGTGTGTGTGTGGCAGCACTGTGTGTTTGGGGGAGCCTCTTTTGTGATTTACCCCCATTTTCCACTGTATCTTCATATAATTTACATATCACTGAATACTCTTTGGTTTGATTATTTTCCTTTGCAAAACATCATAATAGCAGCAGCTGAAAGTCCTCACTAGTCCCTCACTCTCAACAGCCAGATTGTTGCCACTTGTATCATTTCTCTTGTCCACTTGATCCCTAAACCCTCCAGCTCCTTAAACAACTTTTCAAGCCTGCCCTTCAACTTGGATCTAAAATACCATTATCCACTCCTTTGACATCCCTTTCTCAGTTTCATTAAAATTCACATCACAGTTTTCAAACCCATTGATTTCGAATGCTGAACACAGTCCAACCTGTCTTATTATTGCAGGCACCCCATTCAGAGATGGGAGCTCAAGAACCAGAGACCATCACAAACAGTTTACAAAATACATGATTCTAGAACAAGCTGTTTTTTAATGGCATACAGGGATATAATACCATAAGAGAGTTGATTTTGAGACTCCTGATGAAGAAGAAAAGTCAGTAACCCCAGAATTCACATATAGGAAACTGTTAACCAAAAAAAAAAAAAAAGTTCCACTATTGAGCTACAGTGAGGGAAAAAAAAAAAAAAATCTAGCAAGGCAGGCAGCCAGGCAGACAGAAGAAGCTTCTGGAAAACAGTAAGTCCTAATAACCTTCTCTAGGGCTCCACAGGAGACAACCGTCAGCACTGGGCTTGCATTCAACCATGAGTGTGCACACGCAGGGAAATGATCCTTTCAGAACATGACCTCCTTTACTTGTGACTGTGTTAACTTTGTATGGCTTTCTTTGACCCTAAAATACTGACACATTTTCATTCCTCTCTTCTGCCATAAAAAAGCAACTTTCTTCTCCCTCCTGAATACTTGAACTGACGGGCTGCATCAATGTGGTTTGTCCCTACCTCCCTACCTCCCCTCTTTGGCATTGCAGCTCTCTCTGACACAGTAGGGCTCACTCCAAATCTTTCCAGACTGATCAGAAGAAACAGCCTAGAAGACAGAGGTGGCATCTTTTCTAAGGCAAAGTCTAGCTGGAAATGTCCTGACGGTCAAAACAATAAATTCAGTCCTCAAGGTTTAAACCTATGTATCTGTCCTCCTGCGTGGCTCAGTTTTGATGATGCCAACTAAGCTCAGCCAGGGTCTTCTCTTGTGGGACAAATCCTGGAATGTGCAAAATGGGAATACCTAAGAAAACCTAACTAGCAAATCACCATCCCTTTTCCACTTGGCCAGCATTAGCTAGCAGGGAAGAGAAGAGGCTTACACTGTGCATGTCTAGTTTTTTGTGTGTATGTGTGCATGTGCAAAATTTACTTCCCCTTTCTTCTTCTTCTTCCTCTTTCAATAAGAAAGTCATATACGAAAGAAAAGAAATTCAAAACAATTGCACTTATTAGACTCTGTGTGTGTGTGTGTGTGTGTGTGTGTGTGTGATGCTCTATTTTCTGAATAAGGTGCAAAATGAGAGGGTGGTTCAAGCTCTTGCTGAGGTTCCATGTAACTGTCTCTTGATTCCAAGGCAGCCTGCAGGGGCTTTGTTTCCTTTTTAGTACAAGCTCCACTGTGCAAAAATGTGCATTATCTTTGGTATTCATTTTAGGTAGTCTAACTTAAAATCTGAGATAACCCATTAACATTATGGAGGGGAGGAAAAAAAAATAAACCCTGGAGGCTACCATTTGGCTAGTGTTACATAATGCCCTTATGTAACCAAAGACAGACAGACAGACAGAGAGAAAGAGAGAGGGAGCGAGGGAGAGGGAGAGACACACAGAGAGAGAGAGATCTAGCAAACAAATTACTGGCCTCAAAAAATCAGGCTCTTATTTTGGCAGCTAATAGCCAAATACTTGCCACTTCGATACGCATCATGAGCTTTCAACAAAGTTCAACACTGACTTTTAAATTACACAAAAGAAAAACTACACTGCAACAAAAATACAATTTGTGCTCATGTAGTTAGCAGCTTTTCAAAAATTAAGGCAGAGTCTTGCCTTTGTTATGCCATTAAAAACATTCTTGTTCCCTAAAGAGAAGCATGCTGGATAAATCATATACCCAACCAAGGCTTGCCTGCAAGTTCAAGTTTTGTAAAAACACAAAACAAAACATAAAAACCCATAACTTAGCCTACAACACATATGTGCCATCAGGTCATGCAGAGACATGTTTAGTGCTTTACGTGAATCTTCGAGCTCACAGTCTTTCTTGGCAACCATCACGCTTGCCTCAGTCCCTGTGGCCGCTTGCCTTGACCCACCTTGTCACTGGTACCGTCGTCTGTGTAATTGCTTTAGGCCTTTGACCAACAGACTGTGTTTTAAAGTAAATATTCCAGAGAAGGAGTCAGTCAGTCATATCTCTGATTCTCGCCGTAAGGGCCTGGGCTCTAGAGGTACACTTGCCTGGTTGTGAAGGTCCATATCAGGGGGGGTGTCTGTACTAGTGCTTTCTGGGAGTCCATTTTCACTATCATCTTCTTCTTTGCTTGTGAGGGCAACTTCATTTTCATAGCAAAATGAATTTGCATTTGAGAGAATATATTTCTTTTCCGCTAAGTCTCTGGCACTACAAAGGGGAGTGTTGGGTACTTCGTAAGTTTTATGGAACCTTGAATAGTCCACTTTGTAGTAGTGCTTCTCTTCAAAGAGTACTGGCTCATAGCGATGGCCCCAAAGGATCTCATTTGCCAGGTAAGAGCTACGACACTGTGTTGTCATGGCAGTGGCTTCCACCATGCCTTCCAGTATTACAACAATTTCAAAGTCTGCATTGTCAATATCCTGTTTACTCAAATCATATAAAGGACTGTCTTCATCAATTTCATGAACTATTGTGATGGGGGACACAAGAAATATACGGTCAATTCCACTGTCAAACCCAACATTGATGTCTATCTGATCCAATGGGATGTACTCCCCTTCCGAAGTAATTCTGGATTTGAGGAGCTGTGCTCGAACATGAGCTTCCACCAAGTGGCTCTTCCGAAGATTGCCCACTCGCCACATCAAGCACAGCTTGCCGTCTCTCATGGCAATCACAGCATTATGACTGAAGACAAGAGTCTCATTTCTCTTCTTGGGCTTTGCCATCTTCGCCATGACGGCGCCGATGATGAAGGCATCGATGATGCAGCCCACAATCGACTGGAATACCACCATGAAAACGGCAATTGGGCATTCATCAGTGACACACCTGAAGCCATAGCCGATTGTCGTCTGGGTCTCAATGGAGAAGAGGAAGGCAGCGGTGAAGCTGTTGACCTCAGACACGCAAGCTTTGCTCTCCTTAGATGCATCCAGATCCCCATGGAGCAGAGCGATCAACCAAAACACACAGCCAAAAAACAGCCACGAGAGAACAAAAGCCAGACAGAAGATAACCAGCATCCACCGCCAGCGGATGTCCACACACGTGGTAAAGATGTCTGCCAAGTACCGTTGGCCCTTCTCCCCGACGTTGATGAACTGAACATTACAGTGGCCGTCTTTCTTCACAAAGCGGCTCCTGCACTGCTGTCGAGTGTGGACTTTACTCTTCCCGTTCCCAAAGCCATTTGCCACTGCCATGGTGGCCAACTTCATGCCGTCTTCTTCTGAAGAGACAATGCTGTAGCGGTTGGTTCGCACACTGCCCATCGCTTCTGCCGTGGACTCCAGTGCTTCTGCTTTGGAAAACAGTCTGAGTTTTTGCAAAACCCTTTGGAGAAACAGTTTTGAATGTTCAGTGAGGACACCAAAAAAAAAAAAAAAAAGAAGAGAGATAGGAGTCTCCAGGAACCTTGGAGGTCTACCAAGGACTGTCTATTGACATGCAGAGTTACGTAAATAACTCAGCTGACATCCAGAGAACATGTCCTGCAAGAAGAGAGAGATTGTTCATCACAAAATAAGTCATTAATGAAGATTTCTACCAACTAAATAATCTGTCCTAGCAAAACAAGGTATCAGATACAGATGAATATATTCTGTATCAAATTATTAGGTTTTTTATTTCTTTGTACCCCCCTTTTGATAACTTTATTTAAAGGTATAAAGTTATTTTTCAAAAAATAGGACAGTTGTTTGTAGCAGTCTTCCAACCAAAATTTCAGGCCCCTTCTCCCCTAGCATTTGCCAGAGGTTTGGAATATTCCATCTTTAAAGTATACCTCATCCTCCTATTCTCTTCTTTTGCTTTGCCCAGTTACTAAGCAGGAGAAGGGATTTCTAATTCCAAACTTTGTCATAAAGCTTGAAGCATGAGGAAGTACTTAGAGAACATTTCACACAAACACAAATGATTGATATCAAGCTCTGTGTGCCTTCTGGAAGAATATCAGCGCCTCTGTCATCATAAGACACAGATTATTTTGTTTAAATGATCAGACTGAGCAGACAGCCCTTCTAATCATTGGACCTGGATCCCAATTCCAGGATATTGTTGGGGCTTGCTCCATCACTTGGCACACTACCAGCGGCCAGTATACAGAAGTCCCTGATAACATCTGTTAGTGCAAGTGATTCTGACTTGAAGGCACAGTTTGCTCTGGGGGATAGAGAGCGATTCTGTTGCCTAGTGATAAGAGTCCTGAAATTCTCCCAGGATGGGACTGCCATGTGTAATGACAGGCTAGGAAGTAAGTGCCTGGGTGCTAAAGGCCCAGGTCTTTAGCGGATTGAGATAAGGCAGGAACTCATTTCATGTGGGTCCAATTCTGTATTCTGCCCAACAGAGAAAACTTTGTTAGGGTAAATGATGCGCATCAGTCTGCTTCCTTTCACTTCAAATGCTGTTGTTTGTATCTGCTCCTGTGGAGAAGGCACTCACCTTTCCTAAATCTGAACAAATAATAGTTTTCCGTTTTCTCCTCTTGCCTCATTGTCCCTTAGATAAAAGCTATTTACTTTAAATTTCCATCTTCACTACAAAAGAACCATTTTTCAACTGACTAGCTAACAAGTCTAAGTCTAAAGGGTTTTCATGATCAAATTTAAATGAACAAAATGATTGCATAGAACTAAAAACTAAGAGATTCTCGACTTGTCAAATAACCGACCCATCTCCTCTTTTTAAAGGGGATAATGGACAGCATGTGGACAGGGTCAGGAACGTACTGGATCCCTGAGAAGGAGAACTCAGCTCTTCTTTCTCTCCTGAAGTCCTATTACGATTAAGCAGCTAACAAATCCGATTTCTGCAAGCCAGTTGCAAACCAATAAAGAAAACCCTGTGCCTTGTTTGTGGATATCCCTTATAGAGAGTCAAGGTACATTGTCCCTGAAAATGTCTTGTACAGTCTTTTGACTTCTCTCTCTTTATCCAAGTTATTATGCAAGAATGTGCCTCAACACATTTTTCCTGAGATTAGTCATCTGTGAAAATTGCAATGTGTGTTACATTTTGGCAGCTTTTGACACCTAAATGATGCTCGATTTGAAAGTGCCTCTGAATTACTTTATAAAAAGAAGTTACTGTGGCTTCCTAACCTTCCACCTGCTTCAGTGTTTTGTCTGCTTCCCTATGAAGTTTGTACTCGGACAAAAGGGGTAAGGCTCTTACTCCTCAGGGTTCTAGATGCTACACAAGGAATGTTTTTAGCTCCCATGAAATTACCAAGCTTTTCAACACAGACAGCTGCAGAGAACAACATAATGCCAAATGCAGGTGTATTTGCAAACAAAAAAATAAGTCCCATTTAAATAGTATTTGTATCCTTGCATTTTGAATGATTTTGGAAACTTATAAGTTGACACCAAGATTCAAAACAAGTTTCTCTCCAAGTTCTCATTAGGGGCCATGAGGATACAGTCTCAAATTTCTTCTGACTTACTTCTGCACTTTTTCCAAATTAAAGTCTGATTTTTGAATAGCACGAAAGATTAACTAAAGGTCACTCCTTCTTTACCTGAACAGATTGATTAATGTTTACAGATCAAAATCTAAGAACCATATGGAATCTCAAGACTGAACTAAGATGTTCCAAAAATCTTGACTACAGGACATTTGTTTGGATTCCACAAATTATACAATATCAGCTTCCACTCCATGGGAGAAAGATGAGGCAGCCTGCTTCTGGAAAGATTTACAGCCTTGGAAACCAAACCTTTGGAGGAGTTCTATCCAGTCCTATAGGGTGCTATGAGTTGAAATCCACTTAATTGCAGTGGTTTGGGGTTTTTTTATGAACAGCTTTCCACATTTAGAACCTTGAAAACACCTTGTATTGTCTTATTTCCATTGCTAATGACACAACTGTCTCAGCATCATTTAGAAATTTTATCATTTTTGCTGGGGGTAGGAGGATGATTTCCTTGTCAAGATGAAAACTTAGAAAAGATAATATACCCCAAGACAGATTTATGTATGTCTATGTGTGCACACAGTGTACGTCTACTCATTTTTTGTGGAACTGATTACATAGTGAAGAGCTAGGACCTGCCCAAGTAGGGTAACTGTCTTAATGTTTAACTATGAAGACTGCCTCTCCCGTTTACATGCCCAGTGGCCTTCAGGCAAGGAGACAACCTCCTAGCCCACTCACCCCTAATTGCCAATACGGAAGCAGCCAGGGAAAACCTTCATTAGGAATAGGACTTTCATGGAACTGGACTATTTTAGGCATTTCATTAAAATTCTTTCTTGAGAAATACTGAATTAAAGGTAGATGAGAACAGTAAATAATTCGACTGTTTAGATTCATACAATTCAGGAGAACTGATATTTGAGGTGATGAATAGTATTAAAAATACTCTTTCAGCCAAAACATGTAAGGGGCTGGATGTCAATTTCATGGCACCAAATAATCGTTTCACCCAGACCATAACCAATGATGTAGAAAGTATTTCTGGGAAATTGAGAGGCTACATGTGGTGCTGTTCATGTTAAGACTATTTATAGGCTGAGCCAAAATTAAGCATAAGGAATGGGAAAAAAAATATTTCAGTGCTTCAATCTTAGGTAGATGTTAAAGGAGAGAGCTATGGATAGATAGAAGGTCACAGGGTATAAATGGGTCAGTCTAATGTGTTTTCACTATATAGGAAATATTTCCAATATTATTTATGTTTAAGAAAAAAAATCCTAGAAAAGTATAATTATAAAAAAGAAGTGTGTCCATAATATGGTGTGGTGCGCAGTAAATCAGAAAGTTTCTGGCTGAGGATAGGATATAAAGATAGCAAGAGTGTGCTGGGCTGAAAGAAAGGTCTGCTAATGACTGTAGAGTAGTTACTCCCCAGCTGACGCCATATAGACCAGCCTGAGTGAGCTCTGGGCACATGTTGCTATGTGAGCCCAAGGCTAGCAAAGCAACCTCTTAGAAGATCAGTAAACAGAAGGGAGGGGGAGGGGAAGGCGGAGGGGAGAAAGGGAGGGAGAAATACACATCTATCTCTGTGACCACTATCCACGGCATTTCTACTCAGCAGTGCATGCCGCATCACTCTGCATTTGCATCTGCTGAAAAACATGCAGATTTGGTAAACAAAAATATACACGCACACACATATATATACACAAACCTAACCAGGGAACATCAGTCTTCTTTACGTGGACAAATGGAGTGACCTCTGCTCAGTCCTTCATGCTACTCAAAAGTCATGCAAGGATTCTAGGATTGACCAGAGAATCTAGCCACTGAAAAGTCTGAAGGATGTAGAGATACTGTGCACACCCCCCCCCCAAAAAAATGTCAAATTCATCAGAGTACAGAACAAATAGTTCTATGGATACCAATAACATGAAAAAGTAAACTGCCACCAAAATACAAGGGGCAGGGGTAGAAAGCAAAGTGAAATGACCTTGACCCCCATTCTCAGCCCTCCCACCATCCTTGAAGTAACATCCACTGTTTCAGAGCATGGGGATTTTTCCAGCTAATGGCAAATATATGTAAAACACTTGGGATGGGGGAGAAAGTAAGGAAGGAAAACCTAACATATGTCAAGGTAATGTAAGGAAGACGTACAACAATGGTTATCAAAAGAATACTGAGCTGCTTGGTATGGTGTGAAAAGCAGTCTGCTTTCTCTGTATACACAAAACAGGTTTTCAAATACTGTCTTATTTCCTCACAGACAAATTCTGATTTAATGAAAATCCCCCAGGGTTCACAGCCTTATCCTTGTGACCACCCTACTGAGACGCTCACCAGACACAGGCATGAAATGGGCCACTTCCTACCGCTATTTTTTTTTTAAACAACTGTCATGATGCGTCCATGTTATGATGCAATATTATTGCAGAATCAAGTCGTTTTGACCACTGTGCTTCCCTGAAACCGCAATGTCCTCCTCCTCCACTTAGATATCAACAGGACTATTAACACGAAGAGCAAATGGCTTAGGCGAGAGTGACATGATGAGAAAGTTTTGCGGTCTTCCGGCTCAAATCCAATTCAGGCTCCGTTCTCTTAGCCAGCAAAGCAACTTTGAGACGCTCACTCCGTTTGAAACGCGAAGCTACACTTCAAGCAGTGTCCAAAAAAAAAAAAAAAAAAAAAAAAAAAACCCACCACGCCAAGCATCAAGAATAATGTGAGTCCTAAGGCTCGCCAAGCTTGGGACCAGTACTTTCGACCTGGCCCCTTGCTTTTTCCTTAGAGAGAGAACTGCACACAGAATTCTCGTCCCTGACTCCAAATTCAGTATCTCGCTACAGCTGGTGCATTGGAAGTTATGAGCACAAACAGATGCTGCAAAGAAATCTGTTTCTATTGCTCAACTGTTCCAAGCATGTCTCAGTATTTTTAGCTCCAAGGATGTTCTTGGGCTCGCACAAACTATATAGGCGTGATCTGGAACTCCGAGCGTGGGTGCGCGAAATAGCGGCGTGACAGCTGGGCACCTCTGGAACAGCAGTGCAGGGGAGAGTAAGGACAACCGCTCCAATCCAACTCCCCAGGACACTCAAGCAGCAAGAGAGAAGGAGGCAAGAAAACACACGGCAGTCCTTACCTGTTGCTAGCGCAGGAGCATGGGGGCATGGAGTGGAAGTGGGGCTTACAGAGGCATGTAAGATCCAGTAGTTTGTAAAAGCGATGGAACCAGAGCAAACCAGAATTTCCAAGACCCACTTGGCCGGCGCCGGGGCAGGCTGCGAGCTGGTGGGGACTCCAGTGAGCTCTGCAATCCTGGGCTCTTTTCAGGCGGTCCGAGATACCGGCTTGCCTGGCTCCGCCCCTGCTCGCCGCCGACCAATAGCAGCGCGCCGGGCCGAGCGGCCGGCCCCTGGAAGCGCGGGGAGGGGAAGATGCTGCACCCGAGGCCGCGGCGCTGCCAACTCGGAGAACCTGCCGCCGCTTCCTCCCCCGCCAGCCTCCGAGTCCGAACTGGGCTCGAGGCCCGCCCGGGCTGGGGAGGAGGAAATGGCGTCCCAGCTGGGACAGCAGCAGGTGGGAAGTTCCGCGGCCGGGCTTTTGCGGCTGTTTAATTGCAGCCTAGCTTTGGGCAAGACTTCCTCCCCCTCTTCGAGCCCCACGCCTCCCTTTTTCCTTTTTTTTTTTTTTTTTTTCTGTCTCGGGAGGAGGCTGCCGAGCTCTGCAAGCTCCTCGAGGGGCCTGCGAAGTGCCATTGCCGGGGCGAGACTTTGGCTGCAGAAGAGGCTTGCAGGTCAGCGCGGGTGCGTCCCACCCACCCCCACTCAGAGCCCTGCGACGCACAAGCCCCCCGAGAAAGCTGCGGTGCACGGAGGAGCTGCGATTTCAGTGGCAAGGGACGGGGATGGGCGCGCAGAACCCAGCAGGATCGAGACGCGCGCGACCCCGAGTGTGGCAGTCGCACAGCTGGTCGGTTAGCGCTTCTCCCTGTTGCTGGTGAATGACTTACAAAGCGCCCAGACTTCTCTGGCGGGTGAACTGCTCTTTCCCTGTCGCCTCGCCCTCTCTCGGGCTCTTTCTGCACCACCGCCCGGCACGCACTGCCGATCTAAAATCAGAGCAAGCAGAGAGTAATGAATTCTCCCGAGCAGCCACTCCTGCAGACCCTCAGCCTGGCCCTCGCACCAACGCCTCCCAGCCCTCACTTCCGAGCCCAGCCAGAGTGTCAGACCCTTTCAAAAACCTGTGAGAACTTCGATATTAACAGGGTCTGGACCCTGGAACTCTGCAGCTTAGTCCGTGGCCGTGCGTGTGTGTCAAATGAAGAATAAGTGCATATATCTTTGAGTACTTTGGTGCCGTAAAAAAAAAAAAAAAAAAAAAAAAGCTTCGCTCTTAAAAGGTGATATAGTTAGGAGACTTCAAGTGCGTTTGAAATCAGTTCCTTTGTTAAATGTTTTATTTCCTTAAGCGATCAAATGCTTCTTTGGTGCCATTTGTTTAAACCTCTAAAGGCCTCTTTGGAGTCACCACACCACCGCAAAAACCTGGCTCGTGATCCTGGCGACACATCGGGAGGGTGTCGTAGCGACGGTGAAACTGACAATCCAGTGGAAAGGGTCGGCGCAGCCACCCACCTCATATCCTCACACGGCCCCTAGGAGGTGCTGGTGAAATACGCTTGGGTTTTGCAGCTGTGTACCGAACCCCGGGCTAGCCTGTGTGCCTCTGTCCCTAGCTGAGCAAGATACTTACATTAAAAGGGTGTGCTGTCGCCGTGCCCGCGGCGGTGGCTGCGCTGGTAGCCCGCCGTGCCACCGCATTCCACTTGTTGAGATGGTGCAGCTCAGCCTGCTGGGAGCCCTGTCTCCACTAGGTGTTGCCTTTTAAAGCTATGCATGTGGGAATGGAGAATGTTTCACGCAGAGGAGGTCTAGCTTAACATTTATGAAGTCACGCATTATTTCTAAGGAGTATGATTTAACTCTGTAAAATAGACGGGGAGATCCGAATCCAAGCAGTAGCCCTGAGCACTGAAGGTACAGCTCAAGTGCCAAAGGGCAGGGCGCAGTGCACCTCCATGCAGTTTTTCTTGGCCGGTTTCCTCATGGATTTCTTCTCTGAAACGGCGAACCAAAACCAGACCCATTGCAGTCCAGTCGATTCCGACTCATAGCGACTCCATAAGACAATAGAAGAGATCTAATTAATCCCTGAAACATACTAAACCTAAATAGAAAAAGGATGTGAATCATTTATATAGTTTTTCTTCTTCTTTTCAGTTCAGTCTGTGGATGTGTAGACTGCTGATAATTTTCCAAACTATGTGAATTCCAAGAGGCAACACTTTTCTTTCCAGGCAATGAACTCTTTTTGCAAATCAGTCACATAGAAAAGGGTGCAGTTTTTGTAGAACCTGAATTAAAATTGCTTCCTTTCAGTGTTCTACCCTAAATAGATCTGAATACATTATCGATCAAGATGGTTCTGTATGATAGGAGTATCTTTAAAGAAATAAATACAAAGTGATAAGGCTACAGTTGATTGTATAAGTGTTGCTATGGGGGAGGGGGACCAACAAATGTGTATCCCAGTCTTTCTCATCAACATGATTCTTACTCCACAGACGGACCCGTAGCAAGGCTTGTATCTTAACCTGTTGTTGTTATGTGCCGTTGAGTCGGACCCTACTCACGGCGACCCCTCCTTGGGTTTCCGAGGCAGTATCACTACGGAAGTAGTTTCCCCAACCTTCCTTCCGAGGAGTGGCTGGTGGGTTTGAACCTCCAGCCTTCTGGTTAGCAGTCAAGTGCCTTAGGCACTACGCCACCAGAGCTCCTTTTCTTAACCTAGAGGGTCTGAAAAGGTTATTTGAATGAGGAGTGTCCCAGTCTCGCCAGAATTTTTACCTTACTTAATAAGCTATCTAAGAAACATGAAGAACTGAATTTTATAAGTGAAACTTTTTAAATGCATGAAAACAATGCATAGCCCCATGGCTTAATTTTTAAAAGAAAAAAATAGAAATGTGTATTTTAATAAATGACTTCTCACGATGTCCCTGATAGGAGGATTCTAGTGTTCCAAAGCATCTGGTGCTTGGGTAAATACGCTTTTTGGAGCGATACATGATACAGATTTCTCTACTCTATCGTTTTGGCTCAGTCAGTCCTTATTTAGCAAAAAGCCCCATTAGTTTTGGGCACCAGTGCCGTTGGGTGTTGAGATCCATCTGTGGATACATTTTTTTGCAAGGAAATGACAATTTTGCTCTTACTGAGCTCTTACCCTCCACGGTAACCACCTATAATAGTAGAGCCAAATATTAGTCACAATCTAAATCTGTGGTCAGATTGTGCATGGTTGAGTGACGCAGAGAGTGAGTGTTCCGCTAGTCATGCAGCCCTTTCCTTTGCTCTGATGTAAAGAACTCCAGCAATCAGCTGTATTTCCAGACTTCCATTTACTGTCTATGCAGTCCAATGTCACAATTATAAAAGATGGAGGAGCTTCTGGTATTTGCGTCCACTGGATAGTAAGAAGTCCCTGAGTGGTGCAATCGACTACCCAAATGTTGGGGGTGATGACAGCCCTGGTAATCGGTTTCTAAAAGGTCATGGCCTTGAAGACCTTATGAGCCATTTCAGTCTACACACGTATGGTCACCATGAATCTGAATTGATGGGACAGCAACTAAGTACAATAGGTATTGAATAACAGGTATTAAAGACCACTTACTAATTTTCTAGGAGCTCTGGTGGCATAGGGCCTAAGGCACTTGACTGCTAACCAGAAGGCTGGCGGTTCAAACCCACCAGCCACTCCTCAGAGGATTGGGCAATCTACTTCCATAGTGTTCTGCTTACCTTGTGCTGCCCTGACAAGAATATACCACAAATGGGATGCTTGAACAAACAGGAGTTTATTCTCTTACAGTTTTGGAGGCTTTGAGTCTGAGTTCAGAGTGCCAGGCTCTAGGGGCTGGGTGGAAACCCCTTGACCTTGGGCTTCAGCTCTGCCTCCTACTCCCAGCCCACTGAAGCTAGAGGCTTTTCTTCACTCAGACAGCTGCTGGCTGCTGAAGCTGACAAGCCCAAGGTTGACAAGTAAAAAAGGTACAGTCCGGATGTTGCCAAACCACACGGCAGGCCATTAATTCAAGTCCATTAAAAGCTGCAAGATCAGCTGAGCATAGCAGGCTGCTGAACAACGACTCATCTACATGCAGCATTCAGGTGTGCCATAAGCTAGAGACCATTCCCAAAGCTGTTTCTTATATACGAGAAGCAGACCACAAACCCAAAGCAGCTACTCAGCTGCTTGTGGTGGGTCCCACCATGGAGGTGATTACTAGTCTCATCATGGGGAATAACTACCACCAGCTGCCCAGCCATTCAACCAGGCCCAGCCAAGTTGACACACAAACTTAACCACCACACATAGTGATACCTTGGAAAACCAAGGAGAGGTCTCTATGAGTTGGATCCAACTCGACGGTAGTGAGTTTGGTTGTCTTTTTTTTTTTTTGGTTTACTTATTTTCAGAGTATTAAGTCATAGCAACACCCAATGAATGAGTACAAGTCAGATTGTCTCGAAATGTGGACAGGATGAGGTTGCAAACTGCTGCTCTGAGGGCAAGCCATCCACCATTGTATTTGAAGATACTGAATATAACCTTACCTATCAAAAAACAGCTTTGGCTTTAAAAAGTAAGCAGTTTCACGTACCACTCTGGTGACACTGAATCCTTACATTAAATCCATTGAAAGTGTCTGTTGAGTGCTTACAGTATTCATCACTGTACCCTTTATTGTCCATCAAATATATCAAAACCAACAATAACATGAGATTGTGCTTTAAGGAGTTCACCCTTCCAAAGAAGCCAACTTATTATATAGCCAATTACCTCCTCTGTGGAGCTCTGGACGACTTCACGTGGGTGAGATGATTACACTCTGTAAGTACCATATTTATCTTAGAGCCAGGCCCTCCATTACTATGATCCTTAACACAGTGATTATGAGGATCATTTCATCTGGGCTGTTTGTGGAACATTTGCTCTCTTAAAGGTAATGAGGCGACAACCTGGATTCACTCTCTTGCCACCACTGCAGCCCCTAGGCCAGGTAGCTCTGCCACTCGCACAGATCCTCAGAAGACTAACCAGTTACCGTTAGGTTGACTCTGACTCATGGAGACTCATGTGTCTCACTGTGAACTGTGCCCCACAAGGTTTTCAGTGGTTGGTTTGCAGAAGTAGATTGTCAGGCCTTTCTTCTGAAGTGCCTCTGGGTAGACTCAAACCTCCAAGGTTTTGGTTAGCGGCCACGTGTGTTAACCACTTGCCTCAGCCAGGGACCTCTTTAGAACAGCCTGCTTAGAAAATACCAACCACGATACAGACTCATCCCCAGCATGTGACAAAAGGGAGGCCTTGTTACTGGAGCTCTGGTGGTGGTTTGCCTAAGGCACCTGACTGCTCACCAGAAGGCTGGCGGTTCAAACCCACCAGCCACTCCTTAGAAGGAAGGTTGGGCAATCTACTTCCGTAGTGATACTGCCTCGGAAACCCAAGGAGGGGTCGCTATGAGTCGGTCTGACTCGACGGCAGTGAGTTTGTTTTGGGTTTGGTTTGTTACTGGAGGCTTAGTAGTATGGTCATTGAATAATTAGAAAACGGTAATAAAGTCAACTGCCCTCGAGTTGGATCCGACTCATAGCGGACCCTTCCTTGGGTTTCTGAGGCGGTATCATCACGGAAGTAGAAAATAAGAAGAAGCTGGCGCACATTCAGGGATTTTCAGGCGGAAGGCATTGCCCTGATAATCTCTCTAACACTGTAGCTCTGTAATGTGTGGACATTTGCATGAGAAAACAAGGGAAGGGAGCAAGGGCATGGAGAATGGAGGGAGGAAAGGAAACAAGAAAATATCCTTTGGAAGAGATTGGTTTAAAAGGAGACATAGACCTCGTCAGTGGCTGTGACCTGGAGAAGGTGAGCTAGGAGCCAGAATCCATAGTCCCCCCTCCAGAGTCCAGTGAGAAATCCTTTCAAAGAAGAGGTACCACAATTCAGTGGTATCTTACTGAATCTGATGTGTAAAAGCACCTGTGAGAATGCCTCTTTGCTGTGGTAAGGCCTCTTTGGAGGACCATAAGACTCATAGCTTAGCTTTTTCTAGAACTGGAAAAAAA